AAAATGTTGAGACTGACGTTCCTGAAATTTTGTGGGGACCTGTAAGACGTTATTTTCAATCTATCTCTTCCATTGAAACTTCTTTACTTCGGTTATTTAACCTCTAAAGTTGCTTTTTTTGTTTCTTGGGAGGAGGGAGGAGGGGGAAACAATTATAATTACATTTCCCTTAATGCTGGCTATAACTTGTCAGTCTCTGTCATAGACCATCACCACGAATGCCGCTTGAAAATTGGCCCCTATTTTTGGCTCAACTGCGGCAGATAAATGATTGGCTTGCCCATCAGGACGCCAATTTCCATCAACTCAAGGGAACTGTCGGTGGGGATAGTGAGAGTGTCAGCCAACTTATCAACTCATTTTCGGTAAGTGTTAGCAGTTAACACCGCCTTTTTGAAGTGCTTTTCATTGTAAGTGGTGTTGTTGTCCTTCGGTGTCGATAGGTCCTTGAGGAAGAATTGCGTCTTCAGCGTTTCCAAGTTGAAGATTTGTTGGATCGGGGACAAATATTTATGCGAGATCAGCTTTCTGAAGGAAAGTATGGCTTCTCCACGGAATCCGAGGGTAAGGTTATGGACAACAAATGGACGCCTTTATTCCCCCTATCTACAAGCAGGATGCAGCAGTTTTTTTTGTTCTTAAATTGTCTTTTGTTTCCTACAAATAAGTGAACTTTTAAGCTCGCCCTCTGTCCTTTAAATCATTTTAAACATCTGCTTAACTTTGACTCCACTTTAGGCCTCCTGTAATGCAGTCATCCTTTCACACTCCTTTACCGAACTGCTCCAGTGCCCAGCTTTTCCTGTGCATTTGAGCTTGCCAATTCCTAATTTCGTTGTTAAGAAAGAAAAGTTATTGTTGATTGCTCTTACCCTCCATGATGCATATATCGCTAGCTCCAAAAGAGCTGAATGGAAATCCATCCACTTCCTCCCCAAGGATTGGCATGCTTACTGTTTTTTTAATCAGACAACCAGAAAAGTTGGCGCAATTGTTGATTTGGCTGTCTGCTAAAACTTCTTGGACGTACGGCGTTGTTTGTTGCAGTGTGTTGGGGTGCAGCAGTTCTTGCAACGATTCTGTAGAGCAACTGTTGGTGTTCTCACCTCTACCTTCCACTTATTCCGAATCCTCATGCCATATAGTGGTGGATAATTTGGATAAGACTAACTTGGTTGTGAGATAAAGTGGTCAATGGTACGATTA